CCCCCCCCCCCCCCCCCCTCCCTACACACCGAAAACAAGCACCACGACCTACTGGTACCCATACACTCGCCCATCCGTCGTCGCGGTGACAAAACGATATGACAAAAGCGGAACCCGCGCAGTGTGTAATTGTAGCAAACCGTCAAATACAGACCCGACATGACAGATACAGTACGACAAGAGCGAACAATCGAGGAATTGCAGTACGCACCGCACCCACCGGCAGCAAAAGTCCACAGGGGGACGATCGATGTGGCCGTGGACGACACAAACACGGACCTCGGGTTTGACCCTACGAGGTTCAACACGAACAAAAACCACGTTGACAACCTGATGCCCAAGCCAAATCGCCGTGTAGGTTAAAAGCGCAAACCATCGAGGGATGTCGACCTGCCGTGTGCCTCAACGGCCACCTCAGATTTAGATCTAGATGAAATCAACCCTTCAGAAACCACGCCCGCATGAAGCAGAAAAAGCAACAGAAACACTTCACTTCACGCTCGGAAGCAAACCAAAACCCACGCGGGAGCTCGTCTTGTGGATACGTATCCCACACGCGCGACTGTATATTGCGATTAGACTTGCCGCCGGCCCACACAGCTTCTAACCGGTGGTATCAACCGCGCTGCAGCGACTCATGACGCATGGCAGCCCCCGTTCCCCCCGCGACAACACGGGTGGGGTGATGCTCTGCCCACTCACCCCACCAGAAATGTCTCCCCATTCCACCGCAAGGACAAAAAGAGCAGTCGTATACAAGAGTCATCACCAACAACAAGGAATCACAAGCACCATTTGTTCTAGCAGGGAGAAAGCGGGCCTGTTTGCTGCCTGCCCCCCGACACTGCAATCATACCAAGAGATCGACAAAAAACGACAACGATACATAACCGGACCCACGCGCTAGTCTGTCCGTCGATGTAGCACCAAGTTAACCCCTGCCCCCCCCCCCAACACTATTCATACATGCCTACAACGTCGAGACGTGGCATGAGAACCACAAAGGATCCCTCACTCGAAGATAAAAAGCGACTACAGCCTGCCTCAACCCAACAACAAAATATCACACCACCGAGATCGAGCAAGACTGATGTTCTAGCGGCAAAATAAAACGAAAAAAGCGCCCTCGCCCGACCATACCGGACAACAAAGGGATCAGCCTGCCCCAACCCCAACATTTGTCATGCCACTAAGAACGATCATCTACAATAGTGGGATGAGGACGACACGAAGGCTGGTGGGGTTAGTCGTGTCTTGTATCTAGTCGAGGGCGAAGTGGTCCTGTCCTTCGGTGATGGCGTGCTTGAGCTTGGCCTCCAGCGCCGCTCTGGACGTGTACGCAGGCAGCTTGAGGTACACCTGTTGTTTATGTCGACGCGCAATTCGACACACATACGCACCAAATGGCAGATGCGTTTGTTTACATTTATTGAAGACACGACCTGTTTGTCTTTGTACCTTCATGCCGAAGAGGACCTCGACACACGGACAGTGTCGTCCCACCGTATTGATTTCAGGCAACATCGCTACATGCTTCTTCATGGACTATTTAACTCTTTTTCTGCGGAAAGAAGAGCTGCATCGTTGTTTTTCACCAGAAAAAAAAAAAACACCCAAGGTAACATGTAGGCTAATATGCATACCCATCTTCAAAGCATACCGGTATTCGTCATGCGAGCCTTCCACCGGCCCGTTTACTGGTGGGACGGGGTCCCCAACGAAACGGACCAAACGCTGTCAAATTCTGGTAAAACCGAAATCTGGGGCTCTCGTTTCGGCACCCAAACTTTCTTGCGAAAAAAATACAAAAAGGAACATTGACATGCTAGCACCTCAAGCCTACTACCGGTCCGTTTACTGGGGACACGGGGGTCCTGATGGAAACGGACCAACCGCTGCCAAATCCTGCAAGACAAATAAGTCTACCAAAAGGCCGGCCTGCTTTCCATTTTGTTTTGGTATACCTCCATTTTTGGGTAAGTAACCCTGTGACCACGGGAATCGATCGCGTCAAGTGTTTACTATAGTATGGACAGAGGAAGGTACCGGGTCGAAATATCGAAACGGTTATAAATGTGAATACAACAACAGCAACAACAACGACTGCATGTATACCTGGCACGTGGAGCAGCTGGGGAGGTGGCTGTCCGGAGTGCCCCCCGGAAGCACGTCCACCTCCTTCTTGACCACCGTGAGGCGGGGACGGAGGGCCCCGAAGCCCCCTATCGGTAGCCGAGGAGTCCCGGTAACGAAGCGGAGGAACTGTCGACGGCCTTCCGTGTCGAGTTCGGACATCACTCGCGCCAGCCACTTCACCTGGGCATGTGGGATAGATAGATGGATAGATAGGAGAGCGGGTGGGTGTGAATTTGAGGGGGGGGGGGNGCATGAAGGGTGCGCTGCATCCTGCTAAGGGTGTTCGGCATCTTGTGCTTACTTCCTTGCGTACGGATGACAGCTGCGTACGACTTAATTGAATTGCTGGTGCTTTCACTTCCAGAGACAGTTGTAAGCACTGTGTAACTAACCGCCTCGAGGGTGCTTGACCATTTTAACACAACGTGGTGTGATTATCCCCTGTTGCGCGGAGTGAGGGTTCTCCACCCCGCACAACATGATCTACTCGACCACCATTATGGTTTGCGCAAAAAAAAAAAAAACAGAGAAACAAAAAATGGTAACCTGGTTGCCGTGCCGAGTTCACGAAGTGAATTGGCTTGTTTTACAACGTCGTTTCTAGAAACGAAAACACAAACGCACACAAAACAACACGCCCTTACGTTTTGGAGGGCTACAAACTACGCGCCCCAACGTGTACAGGCTTTGGTGTTGGTGCGCCTATTGTACTGGATTAAGCATGGACACCGCAACACATGCACACCTGCGAACTGTCCACCGTGTATCCGTGCCTGCACACAACGCTGGCCATGATGGTGCCGTACTCCCACTCCTCGTCGGCCCCGCTGCCGGTCCCCTCCCCGCTGATGAGCCGTTGGAGCTCGCCGGCGCTCAGGACGGAAAGGGTGGAAGGGTCCATCACCTCCGACACGCCTGACGGACAAAAGAAATACGCCACGAGTCGGCGGGGGGAGGGAGGGGGGAGGGACGTAAATGACTCGGCGATCAGGACGGAAAGCGTGCGAGGGTCCACCACCTCCGACACGCGTGACAGACAAGACAAGACAAACAGAGGCCACAATAGGGTGTGTGTGCGTGAATGACTCGTGTTTTGGTGTTTTGCGTGCCTTGGCGATGGGATGATTGACCACGAGACAAATTACTCATGGTTTCATGTTTTGCATGCCTTTGCTGTTGAATCTCTGACGACGCGTCCACGGGAAGGGGGGAGCGTAAAACACAAAATACTGGCGGTTAGGCCTTTACCACGCGTCCTCGAGGGGCGTTGTTGTCCCCACAGGGCCTTTCTTATTGTTAACCGCTTCAAAATATTCTTCGCGTGGTGGCGCCTTCTGGACTGCCATTCTCTGTCACCTTTGACCAGGGCTTCGACTTGCACCAGCACGCTTTCCACGAGGAGCACCCTGGTGACCTCGTCCACCCATTGCCCAAGCTCGGCGGCCGTAACGCCAAGCTCTGCACCGCCCGGTCTAAGCTCGTACCTGAGGAGAGAGAGTGAGGGAGAGGGCGGGGTGTGTGTGTGGGAGAGAGAGAGGGCGAGGGAGAGAGGGCGAGGGAGAGGGAGAGGGAGAGAGAAGAGGAAGAAGCGCAACGGCCTTGTTGTCCCTGTTGTGGCTGGTTGGTGAAAAAAAAAATGTCGCAAGGCGTGTAATACCAACCACCATCCAAACCCTGACTGACAACTATCACAGCCAACCAAGAGACCACCACAACAACGGCGAGAGTCACAACCATGACAGCAACAGCTACCACAAAGACAGCAGCGGCCACCGTCACAACCATGACAGCAACAGCTACCACAAAAGCAGCAGGAGTAGAGATATCGTTAGGGTTAGGGTTAGGGTCCTCACCAGGGGTATCCGGGAAGAGTCCAGGAGAGGCAAAGGTTCTCCGCGTACTCCTCCAGTTCCGACATCGACTGGACGGCGGCCTTGACGCCGCTACCCACGCCCCCCAGCGCGGCCTGCGACGAAAAATGAGGGACGAAGAAATAAAGCAAAAAAACAAACAAACATGTGCTGCTTTTTTTTCGCCTTACGAAGAATGAAGGATGGACATTCAAGAACAATTACAAACGTGCTTCGGTACGTATGAAAGATGAACGTTCAGAATAAAGAAACGTGCTTCGCTATTTTTCGAAGCGGGAAGGGTTCCCAACTCAGATGGACGATATACAGAGCAATTTTTTTCCAACACGTGAAGCGCAAAAAAAAGTATTACAATGCGCGCTAGGGCACCTTCTCAACACAAGAAAAACAATAATAAACAAGGTATGCGTGACGCGCAAATGGAACAGATAGAAAAGAAAAAAAATGGCGGAACAGGACCCGTGTAGACACACGCTTCTAATGGAACCGGAGAGTATCCGATGATACTTTCTAAGCGTCCTCCTTTCGGCACAATATTTGGATCAAGCGTGTGGTACATCTACTATTGATACGTGCGCTCATTTCATCGAATGCCCACATTGATTCGGCTGTTTTGGGCACACACACGCACATTCCTTCCAGGGAGCTTGATTTAGCCGGTCATAGTTAGCGCGGTCGACGCCAACAAAAAAAGAAAACACACACACACACACCACAGTCAGTCAGTCGGGTCAGCCAAGTCACACACCCACGAGCACGAGCTAGGCTTGTAGGTGATGACAACACCACAGCATCACATGCTTACACTCACGCCTGCTCCACGCGTAACCTTCAAAAATAATCAGCTATAAACTGGAAAGCTTCAACGAGTAGATTTCTATCTAGCTCTTTGGCAAAGGCATGTGCCTCGCAGGCTCGGGGAACACACCTTGGCCTCCTCAACCTGTTGGGCAAGCTCCGCGACGCTGCCCAGGCTCCTCCCGAGCGCTTCGTCTATCAGGCTCACATCGCTCAGAGCCAGGGGCTTCGCGCCTGAGGGGGGGTGCAAGGGGGAGGGAGGGTACTTCTTACCACCAATGAGAAAAACAAAAAGTTAACACATCACGTTAGTGCGCAGACCATTATTAAAGTCGTATGACGTGATGCTGCTACCTCCCGCCGCGGATACCAGTACTCCGAGAGTACCAACTACGACAGAGAGGTGATCCACAGATGCAAAACAAGCTGATCTGGCAAGCTACAAGTTGTGGGATCCCGGCCGTAGCCTTTTCCCCCTGTGTGACGGCCAGCATACATGGCTTCATTTCATTCGCTTGACCCCAAAGTGATGACAACTTCATCGGCGTTGCCTGCCTGAAGCTTCCACTTTTTTCCTTTCATCGAGTAGCGTTATGAACGGTATCCTTGACGGTAGCTGACCGTACCAACTCGAGACGGGGGAGCGCAGGAGCTTCCCCTCGCCGTCGCGTCAAAACAAACGTGTGTACCGTATGACACAAGATAATACACCCCCTGGACCGATTTTCAAAGCTCGATTTCTCAACAGCAGCAAGAGTCACAGCGCCGAAAACGGTGGCGTCGAAGCCGTCACGTCGAGAGCTTTCCGAAACTGTACCGTTCCGTTAATCCATCCTCTTGGTCATGGCGTAATCCAGCTTTGAAAATGGCTCCAAGGGGAGTGTTATCTTGTGTCATATACGGCACAGGATCCCTGTCGTAGGTTGGTGCCTACAACAACAGGTGTGGACGAGAGCACTTAACACGCACCCCCCACTTTGGGTGAGAAACAGTTACACACCAACGGGTGACATCAAAGGATTTGACGAACAAAACACTCCAACTAGGCTTGCAGCGGCACACTACTTGCGTCATGTTTGATAAATACGAAAAATAAGAGAGGCAGGGTGGGGGTGGGCTGGAGAACGAAACTGAAACTGATTTTTTTTTTCTTGCAAAGGAAGAAAACCCATCCCTATCGGCGGGCCTGAAAAAAGAGCCATTGTACAACTGTAGTTGTGGTCCCCATATACCGTACCGCGGTCCCGAGTAGTGCGGGTCCCGATACACCGCGGTACAATATCGCTTGAGGCGGGATTTGGCTACAATACTGAAATCCATACCCTCCCCGACACCCAATGATGTACCGCAGTGATTATTTCCTGTCACGAGACCACGACCGCACAACAGGTACAAGGCAATCGTCTTTCCATTACCACAAGCTTGGTTGTCTTCACATGAAAAAAAAAAAAAAAAATCACCTGCGGTGGGACGGCGGCGAAGGCCCACGATGAGGCCGCACAGCGGGAGCGCCAGGGGTAGGTCTAACATCCGGCCGTCCTTGAGGGCCTTCCCCATCAGCCTGCCCAGCAATCTACTCCAGCGTTGGGAGGGGG